TGCGCGGAAGGCGCGTTGGACCCGGCGCGGTCTGCTGTCCGATCGATTGGCGATGCCCGGAATCGCGGTAAAGAGGAAACCGCCGCTACGATTTTTTTTCGCCTGTCATCCTGCCGGGCGGACCCTGCACTTTGTGAGAGCGGAAGAGCACACCTCTCCGTTGGGTGTCAGTTCTTTTTTTTTTTTCCGGGACGCAGCACGGGCTTCGAATTCTTTTCTGCTTTGCGGTAGGCCCTCGGCTATGGGGGAAAATTGTTTCTGGCTGAATCACTCCGGATAGTGTTTTTCGATCACAGCAATGACGGTGAAACTGTTGATTTTTTGGGTTGTTTTATATATCGATCATTTTGCTCGTGTGAACGCGCTTACTTTGGAGTCTCGCATTTTTCTCGAGCTCTAAAAGTGTCGGTTTCGCCAATCGTTTGACCTGTCGCGATTTTTATAGTTCGGGTAATCTTGAAAGGCGTTTTGTATTTTTTTTTTTCTTGGCCATGTGTATATTTCCCTCGGTCTACTTATTTTTGTTTTCAAGATGGACACTTTCAATGTTGATCTTTAGGAATATTCTTGCCAACGCTCAAGTCGAGCGCGACAAGTTCCAAGTCCCGTGTCACAAACAAGACAGGTAGGAAAATTTCACACGAAGTGTAGTCAGAGACATATGGAGTTCCCATGAGACTTTAGGCCCCGGGATAACTTTCTGTTATCCTCACAGAAATATTTAACGCCATTATATTTTCCTCCTGTATTCGATGGCTTATGTCAAAAGAAACCGAGAAGTAATAGAATATAAGAGAAATACGGATGATACGAAATAATGAATTGTATTAGGTAGTTACTGGATCGGCACCGTTTTTGATCGTGCCCATGGTTTACTTTATTTGGGGCACATTTCCCTTGCTTTATCATTAAAAGAAACATCTGCCAAATTAAATATAAAACAATAATAAAAAAAAACGCACTGTAAATTTTAGTTCTATTCTGACCGGTATACATAGTTTGTATTGTACGCATAACGGGTAGCCGAGGTGTGCGAAAAAGTTTACATTACAAAATATCGATGCATGCTCAAACGTGTGAGTCCAGCATTTCTACTACTACATCTATTTCAATAACATAGTGTTTTTGTCGAGGTAAGAAGTCAGCGATGGCATGCAGCGATTGTATACTGTTACGCACATCCAAAGAAACGAAGATCGAACGAGCTTTGGGTCGCGTTGAACAGAAACATTAGAAAGAAACCGCGTAGTCTATCACTCAACAAAATTCTTTAGCGAGATGACAGCAGCAGAACCTCTAACTTCGACCTCATTGGCACTCCTTTCCGACTGACTGTCATAAAAAAAAGTTACGAAACACAACAATGAATCTTAATACATCACGTGGTTAATACGTCAAAAATGAATCATTCGACCAGTGGACTCTGACCATACCTTTCAAACACGCAAAAAAAAAAAAAAAATCGAAAATGAATACAAAAACGTTGGGCTCGGTTATGTAACATCGAGTGAGTTCGCCATCATATTTCTTTTTCCAGTTTGGCTTCGATAGCTACGAGTTGCCTTTCATGCTAATCGATCCAAACCAGCTTCTGGCCACCTACCGCAGTAGCCGGTCGTGCTATTCCAGTCGCCCGCCGCGCTGCTATTGATGGCCGCTTCTTCACTTTCTTTGTGCATGCGCATTCGACAACCGCTCTTTGCTTCGCACCCAGCGGACAAGAAAATGGGCGAGCAGACGACAGGCGACACGACAACGGACGGTTGTTTCGGCGAAACAATCCAGGTGGTATACAGATGAACAAAAAAAATTCGGAACTTTTTTTTTCTTCTAACGTTCGCTTTTGTCGGATGTCGGTACGGCTAGACCCCGTTTCATTAGTTGTACGCCTCGTTGTACAATCTGCACGCGCAAGTTGGTAGCTTCAGAAAGGAATACTCTGGTCGCAAGGGTGACGAGCGTGTACGGTTCCTGTGACCTTGTGCACAACTGCAATGAAGCACATCGAGCATTTCCCTTCACACCCTTCTCTCACATCTTCCCCAATACACGTGACCTTTCACAATAGTGATATCAAGCATGATCGAAGATTTCCATGATTGTACGTTATACTCCTCTTTTCAGAGGGGAAAAAAAGCAGACAATTCTAATTCTTCTGTCCGCTTTTCGTCATGCTTTATGAAATCACAAGTCCTGAAGCTTTCCAGACGAGTCCCCTTTGTGTTCGACGAAGCCAAGAAACGACCATAAAAAAAAAGAAAAATCAAGTTGCTCCACATTCAGCGTTGCTATCGTGGAAATTCAATTCACACTAGCGTGGTGGGTTGCGCTGCTGCGCGAAGGACATTGGTCTCGAGTGAAACCAAACTTGTCTAGGGGGCAAGACGTTAACGTACTCATCGCTTTAGGCTTCTACTTTCATATCAGCTTCTTCCAATACAAAGGGGGTACTCCAATATGCTCCACTCAACTTAACCCCCCTCCCCACACACACACACACACAACTTCCGTTTCCACGCACGGCTCGCGCGTTGCTGCGATGATAGCCTATAGACATGTTGTCGAGCCTGACTGCTTTCAATGTTTCGCGCCCGATTTCCTGGTCCTTCGGTGTATACCCAGGTTCGCTTTGCATAGAGCGCCGCGCAAAGCCGAGGAACTCGTCAAAAGGAGACCGCGGGGCTGTTTAGGAACGGGATCGGTTGTAGCGAGAACAGCGCAGCGTTACGGTTGGTGAGCTTGTAAATGGTCGGTTCTAGCCGACTGCGTAATCCGGTAGTCGGGAGGGGACCCCGCGCGCGTCAAGAGCCAGCATCGGCGCAGCCCCAGCGATCCTTGTCCAACCGTGCGTGAATGTCAGCGCGCGCGTGTTCTTTGCGGGAGAGATCAGCAGGGTGTTGGTGGTTCCTGCCGTTGTGCGTCGAGGAGTGTGGGCTCTGTTTACCCTTGGCAGACAATGCAGTGAAAGGTATACGTGCACGTCGGACCAGTCGTGCGTTTCTCAGTCTCCACGTGATAACGCTCCCGCTAATATACCCGCGCATAGAGTGCGAGGTCAGGCGATGAAAGGGAAGCGGCTGATTGGTCCGGCGAGCACGTAGCTTTCCCCGCACTGTCAGCTTAGGGGTGAGCTGAGTATAGATGAGTCGAAAAAAAGAAAAGCTCGAGTGGATGCTTATTCGCCTCGGTCAGGAGGATTCGTGAACGCACAAGCAGTACGGCGTGATGACGCGTTCAGGCATTGGTAGGGGAGCTTGTTTCGTGGTCGTTTGTGGTTCAGGAACGGTGTATATATCTACGTGTCAAAAGGAGAGGTTTATTTGATACACGTCCTTGAGACATGCCAAGGTAAGGCTGTGAGGGAGCCACTGTGGGGTGAGGGACTTGAAAGGTGTGTAGGGCGTAGACCTAAAAATATTTCCTTCTTTTAATGCGATTAACTTTCTTTTGGATCTTCAGGCCATACTGAGGTATATTTCTGGCCGTTTATTTTTCCCGCTATACTTAGCGGGAAAAATTACGTCACATGACTTGATGTCACGTGATCTATACGCAAATTTAGTTTCCCCGCTAGATTTAGCGGGCAAATTGACATCACGTGACCTTAAGACCAATTCTGTCCTTTACCTTAAAGTACTCCGCCGAGTTTTTTTTTCGAGCTACCCCAACTAACTATATTTCCGGAATCACCGACCCTTACCGTTTCCCGTATTCTATTTAGTATCTCAAAATTCATAATAGTCATTGTGAAATCGGCAAGTGAAAATGATGCCAAATCCAACATTCAAATATACCCGCTTTTTCACTGCCCTTGCGTCAGGAGAAGGCAGGTTTGAGCTGCATGACACTGCTCATACATCATACAAAAGACAATCTGCAAACACGAGTCACAGCAATATCCGTGGTTCGAATGCCGCCTGCCACGTTTACTCCTTGAACTCATTGGCGTGCGGCATTCGAAGCACAGATCTCGCGGTGACTCGCGTTCGAATTTGTATGCCGACTGTCTTTTGTATGACGTATAAGCAGTGTGGCTCCGTTTTTAAAGTCAAAACGGGCTGTTTAAAAATGGACTGTGCCAAGCATTTGTTTCGTGCTGCTGCGCGGGTGCTGGAGCGAGCTTCCAAAGCATTCATTTGACACCATGGAACTGCATGTAATCAGTTGGTAAGAAAGCCTACACTCTAAAGAGTGAACCCCTGCCTTTCTCTGACGTCACTTTTTCATTGTTGGCAGTAGAGACTTCCACTTTGGAAAACGCGGTGAGGACCAAAATTGTAAATGCAAAACATTCGCAAAAAAAAAAAAAAAAAGTCGGATTATTTCGGTTTGTTTGTTGATTTGTTTAACAAAATCGGCGACTATGAATACAACGCCGGTGTACCCCTTAGCAGCTATAATTTTATATTGGATCTAAGTTGCTATAGATAAAGCAATTGTGTTGTGCGCATATTGTTTAGACCGTGGGAAGGTAGTCAGCCCCACTGATCGTCTGCTGTCTTCTAAGTAGACGAAGAATTTATTCAGTGCAGTACAACTGCTAGCCTGGGCTCTTTAACGCGCATCACACAGTCCACATTGAAACTGACAGGTGTGGGGATTAAACTCAGAACTTCCTGGGTTCTGCAGTGTGAGGTTTCGCTCCACGTGCTCCGAGCTCCGGTGCGCTAACATACTCGGCCACCGATCCCCTTTCCTGGACGTGGATAATGTGTAGATGTAAAAAAACAAAGTGTTTGAAATGAATATACTGCTCGATATGTAATGCGATAAAAAGAATGGTACCGCGATTGGCTAATGTAGATTGGACATTATTAGGATAGGCGGCCCTTTGGGTCCCTCACAGCAGTTTGGAGCGTCGCACTGGGCAGGCGCAAACATTCTGCACGATGGCCTAAGCTGCTGGGGGGGCGGGGGGGGGGGGGGGGTGCAGAAAGCGTTGGGGCCACCTATTTTAAACGTTTCTATTGACTATATAGTTGAAAGGCGAAGGTGCTTACGCTTCTTCTTTCCGTCGGGGTCCTGTCCCTGGGCGTCCTGGACGTGCTGGCCGCCGTGCTGGAGGTCCATCATGCTTCCGAGCTGCGTGGAGCCCACGGCGGCCCCGTACACGTCGTCCTGCATGGGGCCCGTGGCGTACGTGACGGAGTTGGGGTCCGACGGGTACAGCACGTCCGTGTCGCGGAATTCCAGGCTCCCCGCGGACTCCTGGAGCAGCTTGAGCTTGACGTCATTGTAGTTGCTTGGAGAGGACCTGCGGAACACGGGGGACACAGAGGCGTTGGTCAATTCCACCGCTGTACCACCATGTCTCCCGTTAATATGGGCAACAATGTGCGTTTGTTTCCCGTTATTATTAACAACTGACATTATGATCGCTTTTTAGGGGAAACGTAGGTGTTCAAATTAAAACGAGACTGTCGCCTTCTGCGTGCTGTCATCTTTGTTCATTGGGCTATGGAACGCGTTATCGTCAAGCATGTGCTGTTTCTCCCTTCTGCGAAATATCCGGCGCCGCGCCTGCGTCTCCTGCCCAGTGACTAGGCATATTTCGGCTGTATAGAGGTTTGTAAAGGACTGCACTGCTGTGGCTTCCGCTGATTATGGTGCTTTGTTGCGCATAATCTGCGCCTGTTTGTGAGGAAGGGTTGCACGTATATTTGTGACCCCACGAAGCACGGGGTCAAACCCAATCAAGCCGTTTTGGAAAAGGAGGTCAGGTAATGAAGGTCTCCGAACAACATTTGGACCCAAAACAATGCACTCCATCGCGCAAGTTGAAAAGGCGAACGTCTCGTTCAGGCACCCTGTGCGGCTTACCGTCTTTAGTCCGTGTGTTCAAATAACTTCCGACATAGCTTTTTTTTTTTTATCTTGCGGAGTATTCCTTCACTGCTTTTGCTTTATAAATTCCTGCTAGGAGAGACAGACGTTTTATGCTTCCGACTGTATGGTGGCACCCCATTCAGTCGCTTTAATTTGCTCCTTCGTTTTATAAACAAGTACAGAGATTGAGAAACGTAAGTCAGGGGGTTAGTGGGTGCTCTTACATTTCACATAATTTTTAACAATTATCGTACAGATCTACACACGCAAAATAAAAAAGAGTAATATGTTGATTCAACATTTATGCTACTTTTTTTTTTACTGTACATTAAAATTATTTAAATTTAACGTGTATTTTTATTTGCTTCCCAAATTTATTTTATTTTTTATCTACAAATTTTTAGATACATGTTCGCCAAAGAACGCATCCTAAAAAAAGTAAATAAAAAATAAAAGCTCAACGATACTTTTAGGCGGAAACATTCGAGCGCCTCTTTCTTTATGGAAAAACCGCCGAAATCCCCTCCCACACAATAGGAGAGGCCGGAACGTCCGACCAGAATTCCTGCCGCAAGATTCGTGTGCAACCGATAAAGAAGTGCCGCGAGCAGCAGCCACAGGAGCAGCGCCCACCATCGGAGAAAACCGGCAACCGGCGATGAGTTCCCCCCGGGCCACAAATATCGTGACGCGCCGACTGACGCGGTTACAAAGGCTTCCCAAAAAAATGGCGAGCGTGATCTGCTTAGCCGTTCACACCCTTTATCCCGCAAGAAACACACACGTACCACGAGGCATCTCTTCACGATCTGCCCGAGCGAACCCACACACATGTGGATACACAGCTCACCCCTAAGCTGACAGTGCGGTGGAAGCTACCAGCTCGTCGACCAATCAGCTGCCTTCTTTTTATCATCTGACCTCGCTCTTTACGCGTGGATATGGTAGGCAGGGACGCAATCACGTGGCGAGAGATCGACGCATGGCTCGTGCAACGAGCATGTAGCTTCCACCGCACTGTCAGCTCAGGGGTGAACGGAATAGAGCGCGCGTATACGCGCCTGAAACTGAAATCGAAACCTCTAAAATGCGAGAGCTTCGCTGCATTGACCTAGCCGGCTGCTACAGATTATTTTTCTTTGTGGAAACCGCACGCTGCTTTCGAGGACGGGCGGAGTGTTTCGATGAATAGCGTCCCGGAGCGACTCGTGAACGGCCGACGGCTGAATGACCTCCCTTCCCCCAGGATGTTGGGGGGAGGGAGGGGGGGTACGAGGTTGTGACGGCATTGCGACCAAGAGGAGTTCTAAGCCAAAGAAGAAGCTCAAAGTCGAAGTTAGTCCGATAGAGGAGTGAAATTTTTAATGCCTCAGACCTGTAGATCCTATTTGATTCACGCGGAACGGCTTTTTTTCTTCTTTTTTTTTTACGTGAAGTGTATTATTGCTTGCATATTTGTTTGTCTATTTATGTGTATAGTTCTGTTGTAAATTTGTGTAGATTTGTAGATTTGTATTTTTTCTCACTTTCCGGCGATCATGCCCTCTCGGCGCTGCAGGGTAAATAAAGTGCGGTACATAAATAAATAGGATGACCAGCGCGCTTCTGTCGTCTGACGCTCGGCTATCCGTCACCCGAGAGGAAAGGGAACGGGCCTTCTTACATGCGTGTATGCGCCTTTAAACCACTCCTCTCTAGTTTCCTTCCTAACACTGATGGAACGATTTTGCGCGTTGACGCGAATGGGACACTCTAGGCTAACTGCCTTTCGGTAAATTCGTAATTAAATGAGCGCCTTATTTTGTGCTTCGAAACGCTCACGAGCTAAGCGGAGCGTTCATTTTGTTAACACATCTTTAAATCTGGATTGAATTTGATTACAGATTCCGGTGCCAGAGCAACCATGCAGCAGGCATGACGACGAATGGATACGATTATTCGCGCTCCCTCCTCGGGCGAGCGTGGATAATCGTAAACGGCGGTCGGAACCTCCTTTGTGAGACAACCATTACTTGCCCGTCTAAATGGGTGGTCGTTTTGCTTTCCTTTTGTTTCTGTTATACTCACGACTACGACGGTCTACAATACAAAACTTCTTGCCATCATCCGTGGGATCCAGGATTGTCTTTCTGGCGGAAATGTGCCGTTAGATTTTCATTATTCTGTAGGGCAGTTGGAAATTTACGCGAAAGGAGTCAGTGTGTTTTGCCGCCGCCTTCAACTAAGCTTTGGCTCAAAAGTGAGACGAGGCGCTCCTCACAGCTTGTCATACAAATATAATATATGGCATATACAGAACTTTTTTCTTAAGTGAGCGAGCTAGATCCAACAGCTCAAGGAGACAGACAGTCTTTTGGACCCGTATGATGCCGTTCCTCGTACTGTAACGCAACGCGCATTCCAGGCTCTCCATACCCGCAGGCAGAGTATGTAGTACGGGGGAGAGTTTGCCTAATGCCGTACCAGAGGCTCAGAGCTGCCGCCTCGCAGCGCGTGTATTTTTCCGCGATTGCCCCTACTTCCTCGTTGGCACGCTCGCGGGCTCATTACCATCAGGTCACGTGAGCACGCCATCGACCAATCAGAAGAGGCGTTCGAGGCGGGGGTGTCTTTGGGCGCCTTCGGCGCGGCGGGTGGACGTGGTGGGGATTTAGTGCGGCGTTGTCAAGGCGACAGCGCTGTCCCAGGGGTCTCTCCCGTTCGCTATTGGACAGTTTGCGGCGCGCCAGTCGGGGAGACGGCTCCCCGGAAGCGGAATAATTATTCGTTCGGAGTCCAGACGCGATCAGATTGTGATGCACAGAATCTGGCGGATTTTAGTGTTACGCGATCTATTTTAGCGTTTTGATTTTACATTTGGTGTCTTCATTTTTGTGTTGTTTCCTCAAATTTTTTTGTCTAATATTAAAGCCCCGTTTTACACCCGTTCGTAGGTACTTATTTGGCTAGGTCGGAGTGGCCACTACAAAGATATACATTTGATAAAACCCGGTCTATGGTTTTCTCTTCTTAAGTGTATCCATAAAAAAAAACAAGAAAAAAAAAAACAAGAAAAAAAGAAATTTTCATTTTTTATTTTTTTTTTATTTTAAGATGTGTAGGCTGCACCTCATTAGCAGTGTCCATGCGGGGAAGTCAGCTTCCGCGAGGTTTACCAGTCAAATTAATTACTTTCTGTGTTTGAAAAAGGTTAATTTTTGCGAAGGGCTGGCACTAGCTGATATCACTAAAAGATAAGCGGATAAAGCAAGTAGATTTTGCAGTGGAAGAAAACAACAGAGCGCAGGTTTCTCGAACCATTCCCATCCTCCACAAGCTACGCAGGAAGTCGACGCATTGCTAACCCAACAGTAGCGGCAAGGAACAGCTGCTATGATGGAGAAAGATGTACTTTGCATAGTGAAAGAAACAATGCTCCCGACTTCCCTGCGTGCCGCTCTTGTTTTCTATTCGTGGGAACCGGACGGACAGTTCTCGGAAACCGGGCATCTTACGAGCACGCGGCGTTTCGACAAAAGAAAGCCACGCCGGAAAAAAAGAATAATAATGAAACAACTACAGTTACCTTTCTCAAAATGCCGACGACGACAACAACAGTTACCTTTCACCACAGCTATAGCTTCCACAAAGAGACCCTGCAGCGGCGACGTTACGTCGTCCCATAACGCAGTGTCCTTGACCAAAAATGCGCTTTCACCCCATCGCAACGTCCCCCCACCCCTTTTCCGTCGGCCTTCAAAAGGGAAACAAATGCCCCGATAAAAGAAACCTATTCCCCTCTTTGCCCACCGTCTCTTCTTCCCATTTGGGTTCTTCTGCGTGTAGCGTGCGTCCGCTGCCGAGCCGCGCAGACGCTGACGGGAGACCGTAGACAGATTCTGTCCAGACGACGGTCTCTTCTCTGAATACGTCGCGGAGCCAGCCGGAGACAAAGGCAGCGACGCCGGTGGCACAAAGCAGTGGCCGGGACCTGACATGACTTTGAAACTAAAGGGAGGGGGAGGGCGGACCCCTCCCCTTGACCCTCGCCGGGGTTGTTTTCTTTTTTTTATTCTTGTCCTTTGAACGGACGCTGCGCGGAGGAACAAAGCTCCCGCGTCGGCGGCGGGGGGGGGGGGGGGGGGGGGGGGGGGGGGATGACAGCATAGCGCGTTTGCTGCTACGTGGTCAACTCTGCAGCAGCGTCGAGTTCATTGTGCGCGCTCGCCGACGTCTTTTTCTGTGTGCAGTAGCGGTCGAGGGCTTTCTCTATGAGTGGCTGTTGCTGCTGCAGCAGCTACCTATATAGCTCGGCGCGCGGTCCTGAGATTCATTTTGAAGGGGAAGAGGGGGCGGCGGTGGTTATTTTGCTTTTATGATGGAGAGCTTGTCTGGTATATGGTTGGGGCCATGACTCGCTCGTTTATTGTGGTGCTCCGTCTTTTGGTA